TCGTATTCTTATGTCGTCTTTTCTCTCTCTAACTGTCTTTGTCTCTCTCTCTCTCTCTCTCTCTCCCCTCTCTCTCTCTCTCTCTCTCCCTTTCTCTCTCTCTAACCGTCTCTGTCTCTCTCTCCCCTCTCTCTCTCCCTTTCTTTCTCTCTCTTTCTCTCTCTCCCTCCCCCCCCCCCCCTCTCTCTCTCTCTCTCTCTCTCTCTATTTCCTCGTCTTTTCTGCTTCCGACTGTCTCCATAGTCAGCTAAAGATAATATTTCTCAAGCGCAGAGCACATACTTTTAGCTCTGTAAATTTTTTTTTTTTTTTTTGTTTTGTTTTTAGGTAAAACAGAATCCATAGAAAACATTTCTTTGATTGCAGGGAGTATATAGTGACCCTAGTATAGTGTCTTTGCTAGGCAAGCGGCAGGGGATATCCTATAGGCGTCCATACGCCTGTCGCCGTGCCTCCTGCTAACCAGAGGTGCCATGCATTTTCCACACCCATTTAACCTGTCGGCACTTAGGTCCACTTTAGGTCTAGGGTTTTTAATGGAGGTTGTCAACTCTAGATGGATCTGTTTTGTTTTGTGCCTCTTCTGTCAGGCAGAACGGTCTTGGTGGTATCATAGTTTTCTATGTCAATGGACATACAACCTGGGCGCGCCCATTTCACCACATAGAATACTCATCAGGGTGGACCCAGCTGTCAAGGGGGAACAACTGGATCTCTCTGACCCTTCAAAGGACTCGGTCTCAAAACAATCATGGACGGCTAAATCCATTGGCGCCGTGACTAAAACCACGACGTATACTTTGGTGGCAAACACATCGACTGTGTATTAATTACAGTGTCTAACAAATGCATCAACCTAACAGAGGCATCCAGCAATGTTAAACTTTGCTACTGTGTTTTTAAAATGGTAACTGATGTGATTAAAGCGAAGAAAGTCCTTTTGTATTACGCAAATTCTCGATCGTTAATCAAGAACATAAATTTGTGCTGCCATACTGGAAGCGAAAGTAGTTTCTTTGTATGACAAGACAGATGTCAAATCCCTTTGGGCCTTTAGGCTCAAATAGACCATCTTGGTCTGACGATAATGATGCAACGAGGGGTGGGGGCGGGATGATTAGGGGATCAAACTCAAGGCAAAGTCAAGACCGGTATACAGTCACTCTGTTACTGGAACCATCGGAACTAAATCTCTGTTTTGGCTGCTGGGGACAAAGCGTTTGTGGGAATAACTTTTTAACCCAGCTTCATCCTTCCATCTTTCTTGTCTTTCTTTCTTTCTTTCTTTCTTTCTTTCTTTCTTTCTTTCTTTCTTTCTTTCTTTCTTTCTTTCTTTCTTTCTTTCTTTCTTTCTTTCTTTCTTTCTTTCTTTCTTTCTTTCTTTCTTTCTTTCTTTCTTTCTTTCTTTCTTTCTTTCTTTCTTTCTTTCTTTCTTTCTTTCTTTCTTTCTTTCTTTCTTTCTTTCTTTCTTTCTTTCGTTCTTTCTTTCTTTCTTCGTCTTCTTTTTCGTCTATATTATCCACTGTCAGGTGTTACAGCGATGTATGAATTATCTGTATGCTATTTTTAATGCGCTGTGCTTGTTTACATTTATCTAAAGTTGTTATTGATGCCACGCTTCATCTGCAGCTATTTTCTCGAACTATTTCTTTAACATGGCTCTGTGTGCAGGTGACACGAAAGCATTCTTGTCATGTGACCAAACCATTTTATCATTTTACTTTTGCGAATTGTGTGCTTCATATAAGTACTAGTCATCTTCAAATTTCTTGGAATAGGTTTTTTTTTTTTTTTTTCAAATTATCATCATATCTTGACACACTCCGGCAGCTTTTCTAATTCAAATCGCCTCTGTAAAATTATATCATGTCTATTTAGAGCTCTTTGTAGTTCTGGTTTTTTTTTTTTTTTTTTTTGCTGCGTAAATCCTAGATCAAATAGGAACTGAAATTATCAGACAGTCTAAAAAAAACAACCGTTGCAACAATTTTACTGAGAAGCAAAAGCTTAAACAGCCTGACCATCTCATTCGAATGCAGTTGCAACTACCGTTATATACACTACACTTCAAAAAACGTCTCAAATGAGTCCCGAGGTCGCCCAAGGAAACCATGGATTCACGCAGTTAAAGATATTACATAACCCCCGGAATAAACATGGCAAGTGCTATCCGCTGAGTACTGGACTGCAAACGACGTATATAAAAAGAAGTTGATAAAATAAATACAATGGTATATGTTGGCATACATAAAAATAATTAATTTAACTAAATATCTGGACTGGAAAAAAAAATAATTATATTTAACAAAATAAATGTAATTATATGTTGCTCACTGTTCAATATATTTTATCAGGCTTAGTTAATTAAAGTCGAGGATATATCTATCGAATTGCTTTTTTTTTTAATGATAACTACCGTGTATTGTGACCAATCCGATAAAATGGTGAAGAGAATGGCGGTAGCTTTGATCCATTCATAAATGGTGACATTTCAATTCCATAATTACATACATATATGTATGCATTTTGTCATCCTTTTGTGGGATGCAATTTTTCGTTATTTGAAGCCCTACCCTGGCTCTTGCCAGGGGCCGCAAGATATCCCGGCCATAAATATGGTCTAATAGCTGAACGCGGTTTCTGGGACCTCTCCACAGTGATCCTCATCCGCATGGTGGCATTTTGTGTCATCGGGTGTTTATCACTTGTGCGATGTCCTGGTGGGGTAAAAGTGGATAGATAGAAATTCCAGAAACTATTACAAACCTTGAATACACTGGCTTATTAAATAACAACATGGAGACGAGCGACAAAGGAAAGAGTTATTTGTTGAAAGCAACGAAAAGGTTAAACAATATGAATAGCCTAAGGCGCAACATCAGAAGGCAACTCAGAGTGAAAATCCCAAGAACATGAATCTCCCTTGTGGCAACATACAGAATGTGTGAGTCATGAACTATTTAGCAGCCAAGAACGAAGAAAACTGGCTCTTTGAAATTAAATGTTCCCCGAAAATTCTTCAAATAATATGGACCAAGAAAATGAAAAATACCGACATTCTTCACTCCCTTTCAAGGGAGACTGGCTTATAGACAGTGGCTTATAGACAGTGGCTTATAAACAGTGGCTTATAGACAGTGGCTTATAGACAGTGGCTTATAGACAGTGGCTTATAGACAATGGCTTATAGACAGTGGCTTATAGACAGTGGCTTATAGACAGTGGCTTATAGACAGTTGCGTTTCTCGTAAAATGAAATACTTCGGCCATATTAAATAGAAGGGGAATGAAAGGGGCAAAAGGGGAAAAAAAAGGGGGGGGGGGGGTAATTCCTAGAAAAGGAGCAAGAGTTGAGCAGCGCAAGGGTGGGCACAAGATATCGTTGACACCCCAGACCTGAGAATTCCCAGGGCAGGAAAGTTGGCAGGGAGCAGAGTGGCTTTTCGCAGTGAAGGATAAGAACGGTCTTCTGCCAAGGGCATGATGATATTGATGATGATCATGATCCTGATGAAGATGATGATCTCAGAAGCAACTGTGCTCAGGCAAGAGTTAGTGCGGAATCTGAAATGAAACATCATGACCGTTAGAACTTGAAGCGTAACGACTACGCCCCTAGTTATGGTTTACGAGTAACTTTTATGTGTATAAAGTTTTGTTTTTAGAAATGCATTCATATGATTTCTGTTGGGTGTTGGCAAATTTTTGTTCTCAATGAGGAATAAACTGGTTTGTCAAAGCAAATGTTACGTGGTACAAACTCTAGCATTTTTTAAATCACACAGTTCCTTATCAAACGCTTCATGACATGCAAGGTTGACAAAAGCACCATCAGCCACACCCTGATTTCGTTTTTTAATCTGTTCCAATGGGTTTTTCGTATCTTTAAACATACCATGAAATAAATACTCCAGGGGAAAAAAATCATCACATGCACAGTCATGGCGGCAGCACTAGACATGTGACCGTAAATCTTCAGACTCCAAAGACCTCCCTGCCTAAACTCAGAAGTGGTAAATAAAGGCAGTAATTGGCAGTTGGCAGAATACTCCAGAAAACAGTCTATGAATATAGGGAATGTGACACAGAAAAAAGCTTGACTGACCAGGGTAAAGATAGATATGGTGAAGTAATTCCACAGATGTCATTTTTGCTAATGACAGACCAGTGGAGAACTTTGCTGTTGCTTCCATCTGACACTCTGTGGCCGTCTACCCATCCGTCCATTGTGACACTTTGTGACCGTCTACCCATCCGTCCATTGTGACACTTTGTGACCGTCTACCCATCCGTCCATCGTGACACTTTGTGACCGTCTACCCATCCGTCCATTGTGACACTTTGTGACCGTCTACCCATCCGTCCATTGTGACACTTTGTGACCGTCTAGCCATCCGTCCATTGTGACACTTTGTGACCGTCTACCCATGCGTCATTGTGACACTTTGTGACCGTCTACCCATGCGTCCATCGTGACACTCTTCGAATCTCTACCAATTTTTCATTCTCACAATCTATGACCGTCTATCCATGCGTCCATCATAACACACTTTGACCCTCTACTGATTTTTCATTGTTATGGTATCTGGCCGTTTTTCCAAGCGTCGTCCATCGTGACATTCTTTGACCTTTTGTCAGTCGTTTCGTTGTGACAATCTATGACCGTCTACCCGTGCATCCATCTTGACACTATGCCTTTCTGCTGATGCATAAATCAGGACATTGTGACCTTCTATTGATGTTTCCTTTGAAGACACTCTGTGACCATGTGTCAATGCTTTCATTGTGAAACTGTGACACGCTACAACTATCTTCCAATTCTCCCAGTATATTGTCCTATATGCACTTGTAACGTCTTTCGACTACGGGTTACAGTACATGAAAATGAAACTTTTAAAAGACAACAAAATCCGGTCTTCAAATGTCACCGCGATTATGCATTTATTCATCAGTATAAGCTTGTTTTGGTTTTAGACTCTCTAACATTGCCATCTTTGCAGGCCACAACAGATCTGTACAACAACTGTACCGCTAGTCACTCCGGGACATCTGCGGCTGCACCAGAAGCTGCCGGTGTTTTTGCTTTGGCGCTAGAAGCCAAGTGAGTTATCTGATTGGGTACATTCTTGTTATGTGTTATTGGACTTCTTAAGGTGCCTCTAACCTCATCATCTCATATTAGAGGTAGTTATTATAGGTTCACCATTCATACCGTTTTGAACAGACACTGTGTTGTTTTCTTAAAACAAGTCACTACAGCCCGACATTTAATCAAATAAATAGATACACTTTTATATTTATCGTTTTTAAATGATTATTTTAGAGATAGATGGTATTGGTGTGTGTCTGTGTGTGTGTGTGTGCGTGAGTGTGCGAGAGAGGGGTGAGAGAGGGCGCCATAAACATTTCAATGTGTGAGTGAGTGTGTGTGTGTGAAACAGATCTCCCATAAACATTTCAATGTGTGTGTGCGCGCGCGCGTGAGAGAGGGGGAGAGAGACCCCATAAACATTTAAATGTGTGTGTTAAAGAGAGAGATCTCCCATGAAAGTTGAAATGTGTGAGTGTGTGTGTGCGCGCGTGCGTGTCTGAGCCACAAATCATCCTGATGTTCACAAACTCCTTTGACTGATTCCCTACAGTCGTAACCTGACATGGAGGGACATACAGCACCTAACTGTTCTTACATCCAAGAGAAACAGCCTGTACGACTCCAACGGCATTCACCATTGGAAGCTGAACGGTGCTCACTTGTTGTTCAACCACCTGTTCGGCTATGGGGTTCTCGATGCCGCCAGCATGGTGGACTTGGCTAAACAATGGAACGGACTCCCAGAGAGGTTTCACTGTAAGGCTGGCACCATTACAGCTGAGAAGTGAGTCTATCGTCGTTCACTCTTTTCTCTCGCACAGCTGTCCCCAATGTGGGAATTGCTGTAGTACTTCTACCTTTTGTTACAGTGGTTTTGGGTTTAATCCATCCTAGTTGGTATTCTTTTCGCTGAAATGGGCGACCTAGCCTAAAAAGAAAAGGGGGAATATTCTTGAACATAAAGGTGACCCGCGTGTTACTGACCCTTCGAGCGCCAACTGGGCGAGAGGAATGCCTGTGTGCTTCTGTCTTTCAGCTAGTGTAATTGTTTTGTTTCTTCAGAACACGGCTTTTTATACATTCCTCAGTGTCGTCCGATGCTCAATGATGCATTTCTTTGGTTAATCAGAAAATAAATCACCTGTCGTCTGCACAATGTAGACTGGTTTTCATGGATTTCCGGGTTTGTTTCTCTTGCCTCGGTTATAGATGCTCTCGACCACATGACCACCTTTTAGCGGCACTCTTCCACTTGTATCGCTGTTTACCTCTTGTTCGCCTGCTTTCTTTTGTTCTCGCTGGTATGAACTTTCACTACGACTATAAATTGTATTTGCTTTTTTATTTATTTCAGCCCAGCTATTTTTGTTAGGTCTGGTCAGAATATCAGTATTTGGTTTTTGTTTCCACAAAACGCAGTCGTCTGTCTTTCTATGCGTGTGTGCGCGCGCGCCTGTGTGCGTCCTCTGGCCTTAATTCCACAGTCTAACTATTTGTTGCTACACCTTTGACGTAGTATTTGACAACTCTCAGTTTCATGTGTCATTAATCTCTTTTGTTGCCAATGATTCTCACGTCGTTGAACCTATGATATTTGCCATTCCTGGTCTCTTGTACGTATTTTTACTTCTGCCATTTTCAGTTTTGTGTGTCAAAGATAGGGAAAAAAACGTCTGACTCCTTCTGGCATCTCTTTCTTTACTGGGATTGTCATTTATCAGTTATAGTTTTTGGAAGAAGAGGTGGTTGTGGTGGCGAGGGTGGGGCCGGGGTGTTGGGGTATTTTAATTTCTAACCCAGATTCTAAAGTTAAAGGTTAAAGTCAAAAGGATCGACTTTATTACACTAGGTTGTATCCCGTATTGCTCGAACTCTCAGCAGAACGGTTAGAGAGCGATGCAAAGAGCACGAACTCGCTAGCTCAGGCCACGATTCCAAGGGATCTGTGTAAAAACTGCACTCCTGAACTGAACCCTCGACCTTCAGAGCGTGAAGCCAGATTCTAGACTAAGCATGTTTCCTTGCTACACTGAGTCTTCTTACTCCTGTTTATTTTTATCCTCCGTTCCCAAATGGGACGCCATTTTTTTTTTTTGGGGGGGGGTATATATTTTAAAGCCCCACCCCGGCTGTCGTCGGGGGCCCTAATATAACCTAACGGTTGAACGGGGTTTCTGTGACTTGTGCACTGGGGGATTCTCATATGAACGCTGTCTCACCAGGTGTTAATCGCTATTTGTGCAGTCCTGATGGGGTTGAACGTCACTCACTCATTCCTGTTGACTTTCTTCTCCTAGCCTTGTGTCACCAGCACATCCTAATGTTAACAACATTCTTCTCCTAGCCTTGTGTCACCAGCACATCCTAATGTTAACAACATTCTTCTCCTAGCCTTATGTCACCAGCACATCCTAATGTTAACAACATTCTTCTCCTAGCCTTATGTCACCAGCACATCCTAATGTTAACAACATTCTTCTCCTAGCCTTGTGTCACCAGCACATCCTAATGTTAACAACTTTCTTCTCCTAGCCTTGTGTCACCAGCACATCCTAATGTTAACAACATTCTTCTCCTAGCCTTATGTCACCAGCACATCCTAATGTTAACAACATTCTTCTCCTAGCCTTGTGTCACCAGCACATCCTAATGTTAACAACTTTCTTCTCCTAGCCTTGTGTCACCAGCACATCCTAATGTTAACAACTTTCTTCTCCTAGCCTTGTGTCACCAGCACATCCTAATGTTAACAACATTCTTCTCCTAGCCTTGTGTCACCAGCACATCCTAATGTTAACAACTTTCTTCTCCTAGCCTTGTGTCACCAGCACATCCTAATGTTAACAACAACATTCTTCTCCTAGCCTTGTGTCACCAGCACATCCTAATGTTAACAACATTCTTCTCCTAGCCTTGTGTCACCAGCACATCCTAATGTTAACAACATTCTTCTCCTCGCCTTATGTCACCAGCACATCCTAATGTTAACAACATTCTTCTCCTAGCCTTATGTCACCAGCACATCCTAATGTTAACAACATTCTTCTCCTAGCCTTGTGTCACCAGCACATCCTAATGTTAACAACATTCTTCTCCTAGCCTTATGTCACCAGCACATCCTAATGTTAACACCGTCTGTAGTTTATGACAACTACTATCGGGATTTGTCCACAGGGAGCTCTCCTTTGGCAAGCCACTGCAAATGAAAATTGAGACCGATGGCTGTTTTGGAACAGAGAATGAGGTGAACTACCTGGAACATGTGCAGGCTTTTGTAACTCTCCGCTCCACCTATAGAGGCTGTGTCACCATGTACCTGACCTCGCCCATGGGAACAACGTAAGTGGTTTGTTCTCTGTTAATGTCTCTCTCTCTCTCTCTCTCTCTCTCTCTCTCTCTCTCTCTCTCTCTCTCTCTCTCTCTCTCTCTCTCTCTCTCTCTCTCTTTCTCTCTCTGGTGCTGATAAATGTTATATAGAATTTTGGGGTACAGAGAATGCAGGTTAAAATAAAACTATCTGTATGTACGGACTGGGTGTGTATGTGTCTGTATGCGTTTGTTTGCATATATGATTTGGTATGTATGTATGTATGTATGTATGTATGTATGTATGTATGTATGTATGTATGTATGTATGTATGTATGTATGTATGTATGTATGTATGTATGTATGTATGTATGTATGTATGTATGTATGTATGTATGTATGTATGTATGTATGTATGTATGTATGTATGTATGTATGTATGTATGTATGTATGTATGTATGTATGTATGTATGTATGTATGTATGTATGTATGTATGTATGTATGTATGTATGTATGTATGTATGTATGTATGTATGTATGTATGTATGTATGTATGTATGTATGTATGTATGTATGTATGTATGTATGTATGTATGTATGTATGTATGTATGTATGTATGTATGTATGTATGTATGTATGTATGTATGTATGTATGTATGTATGTATGTATGTATGTATGTATGTATGTATGTATGTATGTATGTATGTATGTATGTATGTATGTGTGTGTGTGTGTGTGTGTGTGTGTGTGTGTGTGTGTGTGTGTGTGTGTGTGTGTGTGTGTGTGTGTGTGTGTGTGTCTGTCTGTCTGTCTGTCTGTCTGTCTGTCTGTCTGTCTGTCTGTCTGTCTGTCTGTCTGTCTGTCTGTCTGTCTGTCTGTCTGTCTGTCTGTCTGTCTGTCTGTCTGTCTGTCTGTCTGTCTGTCTGTCTGTCTGTCTGTCTGTCTGTCTGTCTGTCTGTCTGTCTGTCTGTCTGTCTGTCTGTCTGTCTGTCTGTCTGTCTGTCTGTCTGTCTGTCTGTCTGTCTGTCTGTCTGTCTGTATGTATGGTTTGGTGTGTATGTATGGATCGGTGTGTATGTATGTGTGTGTATGTGTACGTGCGTATGTATTGGTTGGTGTGTGCATATGGATCGGTGTATATGTACGGCCTGGTGTATAAGTATGGATTAGTGTTTATGTGTGTGTGGTTGTGTATCCATGTTTACGTGTGTATGTACCGGTTAATGGCTGTGGGCGATATGGCAACAGCCCGCTTTCGAGAGGGGTGTCGAAAGCCGACCGTTGAGTTACAATGGCAAACTTCTGAACGTTAAATTGCTATTCGTTTTTAAATCACAAACCGCCAAATTATAATGGGAATGGTTCTGCAACGTTCTGTAAAACTGTAAAGGATGCGCAGTTAACTATTTGAACACGACCTTATGAAAATGTATCTTATACATCACAACGAGACATGCAGATTTATTTTCCTACATTACAAGAAAAATAGGGGGAACGTAATAGAATAATTAGTAGGAAAATCAGATGAAATAAATGGGAATCGCCCAAGCAGAAGCAGCATTTCACAGCATGAAAATAGTTTGTGCAATACTTCTTTGTCAATTAAGGTGAGAAAGAGGATTCCGATATGTTTAATAGAGCTAATTTTTAGGAACCGAAGTGATTTGTGGACATTTGGCAGATTTATTAGTAAGAGATTCTTATAGAAACTGCGTGGCATCGGCTTACAAACCACATTTTTGACCACACAGATACGAATAGAGAAACTGGAGTATATATGGGGGCGTCTAGAGGCTTGGGCGGCTAGCAATGATGAATAGATGTTGGATACCTAGAGGGCTTTTTTTATCAGAAAGCAGAAGAACTAATAAATTAAATAAATACAACAAAGATGCTATAAAGCTAAATTGACAACTGGCATCAGTACTGAAATGCAAGCGCGTAAATATGAACACTAATAAAAGAGCACTGTTCAGCGTAATATTTTTACCAACGCTGTGATATCTCAAATATAATACCTCAAAACTCTACGACATGGTCATCGGCGGGTAAGAGGTGCCATAACCTCTCCCCCCTGCTGCCTTACAGGGTAAGTCTCTTTAGACAAAGGCTATTGGAGTCAAACCATATACAAACCGGCGGAAGGCAAGAGGAAACCACCGCTGTACTATCCCAAGAAAATCATGCCTCAAAATAATATGTATTTAGATAAAGACGTGAATGGGAATTCCGGTGGAATCACCTCGTCCGGTAGGGAGCATAATGTTCTACGGGTGATACCCGACCATCATCCAGCTACTGTAGAAAAAGTAAATGGTAGAAACACCATGAACATTGGTACATGGAATGTCAGAACACTCGTACAAAACGGAAAGCTGGATAACATCAAGATGGAAATGAAGAGAATGAACATCAACATATTAGGAATTAGTGAAATGCGATGGCCAGGAGCAGGGGAAAAGTATTCAGATCAGCACAGAATTATTTACTCGGGTGGGAAGGAATATAGTAAGGGAGTTGGTATTATTTTGGATCCAAAGTACTCAAAAACTGTTAAAGGATTTTGGACAATATCAGATAGAGTACTATTAGTAAAACTTCGCGGCAGACCGTTTGACATCAACTTAGTACAGATTTATGCCCCAACAGCAGATAGTTCAGAGGAAGATATTGACGTATTTTATGACGAGTTAGACATGGCTGTTGATCAATGCAAAAATTGTGAAGTAACAATGGTACTTGGACATTTAAACGCGAAAGTAGGAAGTGAAAAAGTGTACTGAATAAGGGGTGGCTATGGCCTAGGAGAAAAGTATGTGAGAGGTGACGGATTAATATCATGGGCTGAGTCGCGCAGCGTGATAATAGGTAACACCTGGTTTAAACACCATCCTCGAAGATTGTGGACTTGGAAAAGTCCTGGTGATCATGTCTGCAATCAGATTGATTATATTCTGATTTCGAGAAGATTCCAGCGCAGCTTAGTTGGAGCAAAAACTAGACCAGGGGCAGACTGCTTTAGTGACCATGTTCCCGTTGTAGGAAAAATTAGAATAAAAGTAAAGAACATTAGAAAAACACCACAGAACATCAAGTTAAATTTAGGAATTCGTATAACAGATAAAGAAATTAAGGAACAGTACCATGTCACTGTACAAAACCGGTATAATGCAATGGAAATTATACAGACTATTGATGAACAGTGGGATATGTTGTGTGAGTCAGTTCAGCAGACATCAAAAGAGACAATCCCACCAACCCATAGAGCTGCAAAAAAGAAATGGATGTCAACCGAAATTCTGCAATTGATGGATGAAAGAAGGAAGAAAAAGAATGATAAAGAAGAATACTCTAGAATACAAAAAGAAATATTGAACAAATGCAAAGTGGCTAAAGAAGCCTGGCTGAATCAAATGTGTACAGAGATTGAGGAAAATCACAGGAAAGACTCACATTGCATGTACCAACAGATAAATATGTTAACAGGAAAGATGACACTTAACAGCACTGGATGTTTGAAATCAAAAGATGGTGACTTATTAATGGGACATAGTAATATAATTAACAGATGGACAGAGTATATAGGAGAATTTATGAAGATAATAGACCAGACGTAGAACTGCAGACCAACAATGATGGTCCACCAATAATGACTGCAGAAGTTGAGGATGCAAAACATCTTATGAAGAAAGGAATAGCACCCGGACCAGACAACGTCTCACTGGAAGAAATCGAAGCACTGGGAAATTTTGGAATTGAAATAATAACTGAACTTTTAAATAATATTTATAATAGTGGGTATATTCCAAATGACCTTTTAAAATCCATATTTATAGCTCTGCCAAAGAAACCAGGCACTTTAAAATGTGAAGACCATCGCACAATAAGTCTTATGAGTCACATGACTAAGATTTTACTGAGAATAATTATGAGAAGAATAAAAAACAAAATTAAACCAGAAATCAGCGATGAACAATGTGGATTTGTAGAAGGAAAAGGTACAAACAATGCCATTTACATCCTAAGGACATTGTCAGAAAGAGCTATAAAAGTAAAGACTGATTTGTACTTATGCTTCATAGACTATAGTAAAGCATTTGACTGTGTGAAGCATGAAGAAGTAATCAAACTGTTAGAAAAATTAAACATTGATGGGAAAGATCTACGAATAATAAAGAATATGTATTGGCAGCAAACAGCAGCTATAAGAATTAACAACTGTTTAGGTACATTTCAAAGCATAAAGAGGGGCGTACGACAAGGATGTGTACTTTTACGTGATTTGTTTTCAATATACAGTGAATATATAATGAGATCTTTAATTGATATACCCGGAATTGTAGTTGGTGGGCACAATATAAACAATTTACGTTATGCTGATGACACAGTTTTGATAGCAACAAGTCAGAAAGAATTACAGGAAATGATAGACATTGTGGTATTAGAAAGTGGAAGAATGGGCCTCCGTTTGAATAATGGGAAGACAGAAGTAATGGTGGTATCAAAGAAACGAATTATTCCTAAATGTGTAATAAAAGTTGATGGTGTTATTTTAGGACAAGTACAGAAATTTAAGTATCTGGGCACATGGATGACATCAGATGAAAGATGCATAACTGAAATAAGAAACAGAATTGGACAGTCAAAAACTGCATTTTATAAAATGAAAAACATCTTGTGCAATATATCCTTGTCATTGAGAGTTAGAAAAAGAATTTTTGCTTGATAAATACATGCAGTTTTAACATATGGATGTGAATCCTGGACAATCGGTAGGCAGGCCAAACAATATCTAGAGGCCTCAGAGATGTGGTTTTACAGAAGAATGCTTAGAATACCATGGACAGCCAAAAAGAGCAACCAAGAGGTTTTGGAAGAGGTGGGAGCCCGAAGACAACTTATCACAGACATCAGAAGGAGACAGTCATCATTTTTCGGCCATGTTATGAGAAGAGGGAAAATAGAACGTGTTGTGACCACTGGAAAGATCTGTGGAAAAAGGGGATAGAGGAAGACAACGAAAGAAGATGTTTGACAGTCTTGTTGCATGGCATGGTGGTGTGTCGGCACACGAACTGATACATGCTGCAGGAGATCGCGGATTATGGAGAGGCATGATCGCCCACGCCAGTCGACAAGGCACCTGATGATGATGATGATGATGATATCAGTGTCAAACATTGTTTTCAGAACACAGAAGGAAAATAATAGCCACAGTGTCATACTGGGTGTAACAAAGAAGGCGGATTTTGAATGATTATATCACGAAGAGACACAGAGCCAAAAGGGAATGTTATCGATAGACAACAGATTAGTTGGTTTGGCCATGCAACAAGAATGACTACAGATATGCCCTTATAGAGAGCAGTCTTCTGTAATTACAATGGTAACAGATCCAGAGGTCGACTAGGCACATAACGGAAACACTGAAAAGTATTATATACAAAGTAAGCGAACAAAAATGCCCGTTCCAAGGATGTCTTCCTGTCCTGACGTTGCGAGGCATTCCAGGAGTAGAGAACAGACGACAACAAGCAGAAACACATGCTGGTGATTTTGTTTGATGTTGTGGCGATGATAACTTCATATAGTGTATTCTCAAATATACGATGTTCAAGGAAATATAGTATCAGTAGAGTAATTCTGATTCCGTATGTTGAGCACCGCCGTAATTAGACCGGTTTGCTACAGCTCCATGGGTGGTCATCTTATGAAGTTTCTACTGTACTTTAACATATATGGTGCGTAACAGAAATGTTACATAATTTAAAACAAACGGTGGATATCAGAAATATTATATACTTTGAAACAAACTGTGGGTAACGGAAATGTTACATTCTTCACAACAAACTGATTACCATAAATGTAATATACTTTAAAAGTGTGTAACATAAATATTACATACTTTAAAACAAATTGTGGGTAATAGAAATGTTACATACTTTAAAACAAATTGTGAATAACAGAAATGTTACATACTTTAAAACAAATTGTGGATAACAGATATGTTACATGCATTGCAAGACTGTGTATAAAATCATCATCATCATCTTGCAGAACTATACGCATGCATGCTGGAGAACATTAGGCGAGGAGAGGAGTGGGTCAGAGTACCTGCGAAAAAGTCTGACCTGTGTAGGGTTATGATCACATTGGGTCGAGAGTGCAGACAGTGGCCACCGGTTGCTACGGAGGTGGAAGTCCAACAGTTGATTCACGACAATTCACGCCCAGGTGATCTGATTATCTATACAGATGGTTCGGTGTTGAGAGGAAAGAGAAGTGCCTGGGGGTTTGTAGCGAGAGCCAATGGAAAATCTTTAGTGAAAGACAGTCTAGCATATGACACCACAACATCTGGCATGAGACTGGAGGTGGAGGCGGTAACTGCAGCTCTCCAGTGGCTAGAGAACAAGATGCATTCACATGTCGTAACTGTAACAGACTCTGAAAGCATGCTTAAAAAATAGTTAAGACAGGGGTGCTTCGAGCAGAGTGGCAAGCTTCACTGGGAAGGTCACGGGTAGTGAGCATACTTTGAATCTTTTCTTCAGGTTATGCCGGCGTGGTGAGTAATGAACGGGCAAGACAGATTGGCTGAATCTGCACCACTGGGCTGTGAATTGATACATGACAATGCAGATGTGACCAAGGCCCTTTGGGAACAAGCAACTGAATCAGTAGAGAAAAAAGACTATTAATGCCTGGAGAGAATGAGACACCTGGGTGTAACTAGAGGGTCTGGCCGGCTGACTACACTCAGAGGAAAGGCAAGACGTACATATAATCATATTGTGACGGGTACCATCAGTATTGGAACTCTGAACTCCAGCTGCTGAAGATGAAGAAGGAGCATGCATCGGAATGCCCCGAGTGCTGTGATGTCAATTCTTGACTCAACTCAACTCTAGCAGGTCTTTTGCAGAGCGTCGCTCTTATCACGGTCTGCCTGAAAAAAAAACATATTCCGTGACAATCTTCATGTTGGTCGGCCCCTGCTCCTCCTTCCTGACACCCTGCCGGTTTTTTTTTTTTTTTTAAATCAATCCGCTGTGGCTATTGATTTGGTCACAATATTTAAGCTTGTGAATAACAGAGGTACTAATATATATATAATTTTTTTTTTTTTTTTTGCCCTTGGATTAAAATAAATTACAGATAGTTTTCATCATCATTAATTGACTTGCTGACCCATGTGGGCTGTCATACCTTGGTATCTCTATGAGTTTAGTATCGCAAATAATAATTATAATGTTAGTTTCAGCTTCATAGCAAACGATTCACCCCATAGTTGCACCGCTCATGAGCCAACGAAAAACACACATAATGTTTATTACAGTCCATTGTGGCAAGATTGACAGTTTGCTGTCTCAGCATATGCACTAGCATACACAAGCATTAAAAACGGAAGTTCTAACACAAACAGTCCGACATTTGAAATACAGTTCATCATCGACGGTAGCAGAGGCAACCAACAAATCAGCAGTTGCACACAGTAGCGATCAATTTTAATCACATAAAGGTACCACGAATATTGCGACCGACGACAGGCCACGCGCCATTTTCCGAATCTACAATTCACAACACCACGTTGCTCACAGTCGAAAAACATTCCAAATGAAATCCGCAGCTCACAGGGTCGCTACATGCACTTAACTTTGACGACGAAACTATATCCATTTAGTCTTCAAATAGAGCAAAAATGCAACGGCCACCGTCTGGCAAGTATCCCAAATGCTATAGGAGTTTTCTTTTTGCTGAAGTATGTACGCACTGTTTTGTACATTCAGTGTATCTCCACAGGTCCATGATACTGAGCCAGCGACCAAACGATGACGACGACAAAAACGGGTTCACTCGCTGGCCCTTCATGACCACCCACACCTGGGCTGAGATGTCCAGGGGAACCTGGACTCTAGACATGGTCATGGAGCCTATCATCGGGGTCAAGACCAACATAGAGACCGCCATCTTCAAGGAGTGGACTCTAGTGCTGCATGGCACCAAAACGGCTCCTTACGCCAACCAACCAGCAGGTCAGTCTCAACTCATCTCAGCTTCCATAGTTTGTATACAAATAATGATCAACATCTTCAACTGAAGAATAACAACATGTATACATATTTTTTTAAGTGTATATACAGTACAATAATATTCATTTTCACAGAATATGAATAATCTTTTCAAAAAAAACATCTGTTTATAAAACATAGCAATCATCTTTCATAAGTCTCATGAGGGAGATCCTGGTTCGACTCCCATTATGGTGATGGATTTTTTTCTTAAGGGGATAAAATTAAAAATCCGAATCTGCACAGTCCGTGGCGACAGCACTAGACTTAATCTTCAGGCTCACGAGCCTCATGTCTACTGTACACTAGAAAGCGGTAAATAAAGACAGTAGTGAAAGGTTTTTGATGTTAACAATAATAAGTCTTGTACAAACAGTAATAATAGTCTGTGTTTAAATAAAGTAATTATTAGTATTTTACCAATAATATTTAGTAGTAAACAATAATAGTAATCTGCAGTTAAACAAAAATAATATTCTGTCTAGAGAGAGAGATTAGTGCAGTTGTAAATAAACAAGTGACAAGGACCTGAATCGCCCTGTCAAGTGTCAGAAGTAAAGACAATATGACCACACAATCAATAAGTCAGACATTCAAACATTCGTGCTTACAAACGCACATATTTGTAGAAACACACACATACAACACACGAATATCGATCATCATCATCATCAGGTGCCTTGCCGACTGGCATGGGCGATCATGCCTCCCATAATCTGCGATCTCTTCTTTTGTATGAATATCGATACGTGTTTAAAAAACACATGTAGTTACTATTATGCATTACCAACATTACAGCATATAAACATAACCTTTCCTTCAAAAGCATTAGGTCTTTATTTACACAGACTTACACAATGCTGTTACAATTATTTCTGTGAGTTCTGTTAAACACTTTTGGCTATCATTTTTTATACCCATGCATATATTTATATAATAATATATACTTTCATCCTTCTGATATTGTTTTTTACTTGTCCCTGCTTTGCCTATTGGTGTTTCGTTTTAAAGAGACCTCTGATGCATTCCTTAGTGTGTGCTGTTTAGATGCTTGGATCAACCGCCTCGAACATTCTCGTGTGTCTCTGCTTTTCGCTGACTTGATGTGTAGTGGTTCCTTCCCACTTATGTCAGATTATAATCGTTTTGGACCCTGACCTTTCTTGTTGAATTTAGGTTTCATCCTGGAACATTTCATTCACATTGTTTATATTATTTTCTTTTTCGTTCGGTTGTTAATGTCCCTTCATGGATGGATTCGAAGAAAGTGGTTGGAGTCGCTCGCTGAGGAAATCTCGTCTGACATGAATTGTTTTCATTTTGTGCCAGAATACTCTGGAGTAAGAAGAAATGAACGAGCGGATTGGTTTGCTGGCAGGGCCACGGTAGGCACAGGAAAAGCCATGGACGGGGCCAGCATTCTCAATGCTTTAAAGGAAGTAGGACGAGATGATTCAAGAGACGACGTTGAATCGACAAGACTCAAAAGACTTCAAGAACTTCAGGGCAAAAGAGGTGTCGCCAACCATAAACACCATACAGGTAGCTAAAGAAGAATAGTAAACACAAAACTGGTATTGTCAGTCGCCACAGACAGGAATATACTGAAGATGGGCTTTGCGCGCTTATGGACTCGTCCGATGTGTAAAGAGGCTAGTCTGTCTATTAACTTATTTATTTATTTAGTTATTTTGTTTTATTATTATTATTTTTTTTCATTAGGTCAACTAACTAACGTCCCTTTCTGAGTGGTAACTAATGTTGGTAGAAAGTACTGTATTAAAAAGTTATTTTACCAACATTGTATTACCAGTTAATATTATATTCTGTTCTATTCTATTCTCTTCTATTCTTTTCATACTTTTCTAGTATATTATGTTGTGTCCTATAGCAGAGCAATTCAAGTAAGTTTATTCAGGTACCACAATTGTTTAATGGAGATAGTTCAGGGTAAAAGACATGAGCCCCACCAAGAAAGACCATTAATACAGTACAACTGACAGGGATCCCTGAGTCACTTGCTAGGTTTCCTTGTCAGCGCTGCCGAAATGTTTTATAGGAATTGTACCAAATATTTTGTGAAAAGGTACCAAAACACATGAAAATGTACAAAATTTTACATTTGTAATTTTAAAAAAAAACAGTTAAAACGTCTATAAACACACACATATATCTATCTACACACACACGCATTTTTTCTGTTGACCAAAATATTTATATTGGTGTCAATCTTTATTAATGTATTTCTTTCTGATAATGTAAAAATTCTTTCTTTTTATTAAAACTCTTTTTTGGTGAGAATCTTTATGTTAATGTAATTCTTTCCTTTACTGGCAATCTTTCCGTGGTTGTCAATCATTCTGCAAATGTAAATTTGTCTCTTAATAAGAATTTTGCTGTTGTATTTATTGTTTTTGTTGGTGTCAAGCTTTATATATATATATACATAATTATGTTGATGTGAATCTTTCTCTTGATTTCATATTTACATTGATGTCAGTCGTTCTGTTGATGTAAATCTTTCTGTTAGTGTCAGTTTTTCTGTTGAAGTCAATATTCTGTTAATATATGTCTGTTAAGTAAATCTGTTTGTTGCTGTCAATGATATTTAATGTCTGTTTATCAAATACATATCTCATTCCTCTCCCCAGACAAAGACAAGCATGAGAAGCTGTATCTTGTACGTCGAGCTCATGAAAGTGGTGTTGTGGAGGAGTAACTGGCACACTGCAAGGTTGACTGCCAGGGGCGTCCTCCCGCCCAGAGCCAAATGTTTAACATGGTTGTGGTTCAGGGCTGTAGGAAGAACCAATGTTTGAGGATACAGAGCAGTCAGCGTGTCTATATACTCGAGATCAAAACATGTTTGTTATGTTCCACATGCACAGAATAAACTTAGTATTAGCAAAACTTTGTGGCGTGATTTTCAACATCTCTTTGGTGTATTTTGGTTCTTGCAATAATCAGGAAAATTGTGACATTCCCACATCATGTTGTCTTGTTTCTATCACTGTCATCCACAAGTAGTTAGCATCTTTGGTTTTACAGCAAACAAAGTTGAGATTGTAAACTTTCTTTTAAACATCCATATCTTGAAGCTTTCAGAAATACTACACGTGTAAATACGCCTCCTTTGAAGTCCTTATGATTTGTATATTGTGAGAATCGTCAAAAACAAACCGTCTATCCACAATTAACTACACTTATTATAACATTATATGAGCAAATACGAATAATTGTTGAAGATACTGTTGTGTTGACTTCGTAGCATTTGGTAGTGGTGATAATCGATCGACTACAAGACCAAAATATAAGTCTTTTTAGCATTTTTTTTTTTTTTTTTTCCCTATTCATCAACGCGGAAAACTCCAAACTTTTGAGCAAAGAAAGCGTTTCTATCAAACATCTGTGTTTTTGTTAAATTGAGCAATACAACAATCAACTTTACTTATTCAGATACTTGTAGCATGTTTTGTATTATTGTTTAAGGAAAACTGCACTTTGAAACTAAATACTTATTTTTAAAAGAATTTATTGGTATTATTAGAAGTAATTAAATGTGTCAGTTTAACGCCAAATATTGAATACAATTCATGTCACCTTTTCGGGGAATAAACTACAGAAAACTGTAATGTGTTAATTATATTTGCGTTATTTGAGTGCAAAAATGTTAAGGACAACTTTTCTTCTATTACTACCATAATAAACATAGCCTTCTTTTCCCTGTTTGTTTGCTATAACATTTATTGTTGCTGATATTATTACCTGTTATAAGTTCTATTAGATAAATCCTTGTCAAGGTTAATTGATTTGTTAACGTTTCTTATTTTGTACTATTATTTTTACCTTATTTATTGTTAATTATTTCAATTTTAATTATCAGAAAAGATTTGGATTCTTGTGCCTAGTGATGTTGTATGATTCATTTTATGTAAACTGTAATTCGAGTATGTGTCTGACCAACTGGCATATTCAGGAAATATTGGCTGGCATGTTTATCACAAGAAGAAACACCATCAACGACCACAGGGAAAATGAGCACACGTTTGCTGTTGACTTTTTATTCAGTGTTTGTGATGTTTCTGTTTACCACATATCGTCTAGGTAAAGTCCTGGGAAGTCAAGGCGGCCTCTGTGCTGTTGTCACATCGCCCATCGACGTCCGATTGGTGTGTGAAAATGTGTGTCTACCTTCATATATTCCATGAGCCACAGACGTGTAAAGGGACCTTTAATATTAATGTGCTCACATGTTGTCTAAAAAACCATCCAGTTGCTTGTTATCTTCTCTAAATATAGTTACAGGACAATAACTTTTGAAAGATGGCGCTGTAATGATGCAATACCACTGAAATAAAAAGAACGATTAAACAAAAGATTCAGATCGTTAAGTTCGTTGCATATCTTCTATGGGATGCCACAAACTAACCCCCAAAACCTGTTGGCTGTTCGCGATTTTACAAGGCAGTTTTACGGTCAGTAATTTGCTGATGATTTCCGACTACCGATTTCAGAGGACAATAAATAGGGCACCAAAACAGAACATAACTACACGTGAAATGTGCCGTCTCTGCAAGGTCACTGACAACACAAGAAGAGACAGGGTTACAAATACCAGTATTAGGGGGAAAATTGGAATAAGACCATGCCTGGATTATATTGACAGACAAAGAACGCAACTGTTCAGCGATCTAATGAGAATGCAGCCATGTCAAACTGCATATGAGACTTTTTACAACAGAACATCTAGGGGAAGGCGAGAAGAAGACCAAGAATAACGTGGATAAGTGGTGAAGCCGAAACCCGCGAAACAGATGAAAAAATCCATCACCAAGACCACTCTAGAAGTGCCAGCCAAATACAGAAAACCACGCTACTGGGTTACAACCTGGTATTGGTGAGGCGACAAAAGAAGAAGAAGAGATGTCAGAATCCACATCAAAGCATATCCAAAGATGCTCTATCTCCCGTAGCAAGAATGTTGAGGTGTAGGCTGTTTCTGTAACACACTGAGTGTACATGATTATTT